GGAAGCACTGTCTGACGCGTCTGCCTCCGCGACCCGAAAGGAGAAGCGGCGATGGAAGATGATGATGATTGAAAAATTCAAGCTCAATTTGAATAACACTTTTTAACACTTGTGCACTTCAACTTTATCATCGTCGAGCTCTTGCAGCGCGAATATTCCGTAGAGAAAAGGTCCAAACCTTGGCATTCGTCAAATATTGCACAAAGATGCAGCAGGATCTAACATCAAAAAAATTTCAAGGCAGTCATAAAACTGATTTTGGCGGCACCCTTATGATTTCGCACACATTGCTTGCAGATAAAACGAAAATGATATATATAGCTCTAAGCTGCAATGTATTCGAGGTGCTGAATGAAAGAACGGCTGCGTTATAAGAACATGTGTCAGAGGTAACAGAAATGAAATTTACTCCTCAAATTGTAACAGTGCTAGAAACGATCGGTGCAAAAAGCAGGAAACAAAAATTCATCACGCTTCATCACAAAAATGCAGGTTCATACCATTGGAATATCAGACTCCTGCAGAGGGCATCATTTACGCTAACCTTTGAGTATAACACTTATGATAAGAAAGTGGTCTCTACTACAATGCCAATCGTTAGGAGTACCCTAACTTGTATGAATGTAATATCAGCATGCAAGTGACACTAAAGCCTGTAGTCTCTGTTACCACTGGATAAAGTAGTAAATTTTCTTTCTACGAGTACGATGGATATACATATGGAAATCTAACCAAAGGCTGATACTGCCAGGCAAAAGACGAATGGTTACACCAAAGCAAAAGTGATGCGATGTTAAGAACAATAAGCAACTGCGATGTGTTTCAGAAGATTTGGCCAAAGACCCAAGAAAACTAAGGAGGCAATTCAATCAAAAAGCAGATATGTGCTACAGAAAACACGCTAAAAACGCGGAAAGACGAAAGGCGAGTTAACTGACATGAATTTAAATCTGCTATCTTTAGACAGTGCCCGATCGACTTAATTTAACGTCATTACTTGTGTATCGTCCTGCTTTTAAGGCCGCGATCTAAATTCAATCTCAAAAGCAACACCACACCCGCATAATTAAAATGAAGCCTTTAGACAAAAGATGAGTCGAATTCAAACAGCACAAGGAGGAAAGTCAGAGGATGAGCACAAGTAAAATATGTTATATCTGAACAACCGAAGAATGGCTGGGTCATAAGTTCAGAGGTTTCAAATTTATATTCGCAAAGCCGTTATGAGCAACATGTACGATGGCGAGCATAAACGCAGAGCCATGGCAAAATAACCAATCAACATACAGTAAAGCAAAAAAACTCACTCGAACTACAAGCTGTGAATCAGCTTTCCTTGTTCAGGTACAGCTGGTTCGATCTGCTCCCCAGACGTACTGTTTACCATACTCCTCGATAGTTCGCCATTGTTGGTGGTAGAGAATAATTCTCGGCCTTTTTGCTTTCACTGCCGTGTATGCTGCAGGACTGTACCACTGGTGCTTCTAAAAGTATCAGAAATGAACCCACTTTATCACAGCAATCGTTGTGAAATAACAGAGAAAACGTAGCAAAGAAATTTAGTTATGAGTTTTTAACTTCTGAAATATTAACAGAAACATTAATACAATATAAACGATACAAGGAAACTGACTAAATACTCATGCATAGCTTGAAATTTCATTCTCACATCAAGACAGCGTTCAGAAATCATAATATTGCATGTGACTTAATAAAAACGCGCTCATATAATCCATACAATATGATAATGTATATAATGTACAAAAATGTTTAAGATAACGTAAGACAGGAAGTAATAATAGTGAAAGAAATATAATCTGTTCAAACAAGCGCCCTAACAGAACATCATTTTGTTCTCTGTCACTTTAGGGTTGCCGTCGGGACATCACTCTCCTTAAATCTAAACTGCTGGTGTCATTTATAGGGCGTCTATTTCGCTGGACTTACGGTACGGCAGCCGTTGTCAGTGTTGTCATATTTACGAAAGTAATACCGTAACAACTACATTACACATAGAGCGTCGATTAGCCTCTTGGTTCCTTCCAATATTTGGCAGTTCAACATAGATTCGGTTAACAGTCGTACCAGCGACAGTCAATTCTATCCTGACATTAAGATCACTCTCAATCGCAAGCCAAAACATCGATTAGAAGCCGTTAAATGAGAACATATATATGGCTTTATTCTGCAAAATTACAAATATAATTACATTTTAAAGTGGCATTATATAAAAACGTGAGTTTTTATAACTGTGAGTCCAATGCTGTACAAATCTAACAAAACTGGAACCTCATATACCCGCAAAGGTCAGTCATTAAAATCAGCTAACGGGACATTTGTAAGGCAAACCTATCTTCGAGAAAACTACAGCGATTCTGAGCTTGGATGGAAAGACCGGAGACGGTGCGGTGCCTATCTGATGTACGGCGTAAACAAAACGAACGCTCTTGTCTATGGACTTCGTTAAGAACAGGGAATGAGAAAACACAGAACTGAATAGGTTTCTAATCAACGTAAAGTTAGCGTCCATAAATGACTTGGATCGAAAAGTGTCAGGATTGGTCGAGGCATGCCTATGACTGAAGCAGCACATTGGTCGAAAGAAGGCTCCTAGTAAGATAGAGGTTTGCGTTTAGGTAGACACGGATCTTGTCGAGATAAACGAAAAGTGGTGAATCAGAATACGCAAATACATGAACAAATGACGGTGAATATACCTGCATCAGATAACACATAGCTAATGTGACGCTTCTTGTCCTGCCGGCCTTGCAGTGCACGTACACCGACTTGCCTGACTTCTGAGCGTGATTCATGAATTTCACGGCTGAGTGCAGGTCATCAACCGGCGGAGAGCCGAAGAAGTCCGGAACACAGAGCCAAAAATGCTCAACACCACGAGCATTCCAATCTTCTTTTCCGGCCACCCAACGATTACAGATCTCATGTGGTTCATTTACGCTTACCACAGCGCCGATATTCTCTTCCTTTATTAGCTGAAACCAGAAAAACTATGAAACTTGTGCATTTTGTTT